CTGCTACTCACTCTAAAAGTCATTCTAAACTTATGAAACTCATGCAATTTTTAAGTGGTTTAGATGAGTCATTTAGTCAGGTAAAAAGTCACATTTTTTAATGGAACCTTTACCTGATGTTAAAACTGCTTTTTTTTTGTTGTGTCTAGAGAAGAGTCTAATCAAAGAAATGGATCCTCTTCTGTTTTGTCTGACAAGAACAGTTCTTCTTCAGCTTTTGCTGGGAAAATTAATGATAGCTGAAAATTTAAAGGTAGAAATCAGAGTTTGGTTTGTAAAAATTGTGGTATAAAGGGCCACACAATTGAAAAGTGTTATAAACTTATTGGATATCCCAAAGATTTCAAACCTAAATCTGACTTTAAAAAAGTCTCTTCATCTGGAACTGCTTCCCATGTCAATTCACATGCTAGTGAAAACTGTAGTTCTTCAGTAACCTCTTCTGATAAGCTTGATTAACATTTTTTAACAAGTGAACAATTTTCTAAAGTCTTGGCTCTTCTTAATGAGAAACGGTCTTCAGAAGATATTACTGGAAATGCCAATATGGCAGGTATGATGTGTAATAATGTTTCCTTTAAAAACAAAAGGTGGGTTGTTGATTCAGGAGCTAGTCAACATATGACTGCTTCTGAATCACAACTTTTTGATATGGTTGATGTTTATAAGTTTAAATTGAAGGTGGATCATCCTAATGGATCCACTGCTAAGATTGACAAAATTGGAAACATGAATCTTTTAAATTCTATCATCTTAACCGATGTTTTTGTTGTTCCTGATTTTCATGCCAATTTTTTATCTGTTCATAAGTTGTGTAAGGAAAACAAATGTAAAGTCACTTTTTATGAAAATAGTTGCTATGTTCAGGATTCTCTATCCAAGATGACTGTGGAGACTGGTAAAGAATTTGGAGGTCTTTACTATCTTGAAAATAAAAATAGTTCTCTAGGTAGGTCAAATTTTGTTTATAGTTCTAAATGTTTTGTTTCTAAACTTACTTGGCACAATAGGCTAGGTCATCCTGCTGATAAGGCTTTAAATGTGTTAAAACCTATTCTTAAATTTGAAAATGAAAATGTCATGCCATGTGAAGTTTGTCATAAGGCTAAACAAACAAGAGAACCTTTTCCATTAAGTGAACATAAGTCTAGTAAACTTGGTGAACTTATTCATCTGGATGTCTGGGGTCCTTATAAAGTTCTTGCTGCTAGTGGTTTTAGATTTTTTCTTATAATTGTTGATGATTTTACTAGAGCTACTTGGGTTTATCTTTTAAAATCTAAAAGTGATGTTTTATTTTGTTTTCGTGAGTTTCATGCCTTGATTGAGAATCAATTTAATGTTAAAATTAAAACGATCAGATCTGATAATGGGACCGAGTTTATGAATTTTAATATGAAAACTTTTCTTAAAGGAAAGGGTATTGTTCATCAAACTTCGTGTATTCATACTCCACAACAGAATGGTGTTGTAGAGAGAAAACATAGACATCTTCTAAATGTTTCTAGGTCTCTTTTATTTCAATCTGGTTTACCTAGAAAATTTTGGGGAGATGTTGTTCTAACAAATGTTTTTTTAATAAATAGGACTCCTTCTTATGTTTTAAATGGTAAAACTCCTTTTGAACTTGTTTATAAACATGTGCCTGTTTTTGATAAAATTAGAGTATTTGGATGTTTGTGTTTTTCAACTAAACTTGATATTAAAGATAAATTTTCTGAAAGGTCTAAAAAGTGTGTTTTAATTGGTTATTCTAATGTTAAGAAAGGGTATAGATTGTTTAGTCTTGATAGTGGAATTTCTTTTTTCTCCAGGGATGTGAAGTTCTATGAATCTGTTTTTCCTTTTAAAATGACTTCAAAATCTGGTGCTTTTCCTAATTTTCTTGAGTCTCCTTCATTGAGTGATCATGTTCCATGGGATCCCTTTTCCAATGATGAGATATTGTTATCTGATATTCTTGATGATAGTCAAGACACTAGGAATTTAGATGGTAACTATCAGGAGGGTGATTTTAATGTTGTTCAACTTGTGAGTGCAACTGATTCTAGTCTTGAAGGTAGTTTAAATAGAACTGCAACTCTTCCTGATCAGGAAGGTTCTCCAGGTTGTGAAACACATAGTTCGCAACCTGATCCAGTTATATCTGAATTTTTAGACAATTCTGAGGAATATGTTGTTTCAAATTCTTCTGATAGTTAGTGTTTGAGGAGGTCTCATAGAGAATCTAAATTTCCAAAAAAGTTTAGTGATTTTATTATTGAAGGAAAGTATAAATATGGAATTGAGAAATCTGTTAACTATTCTTTTTTGGATTTTGAAAATAGGTGTTTTGTGGCTAATCTTAATAAGACCGTTAAACCTAATTCATATTATGAAGCCTCATTAGATTCCAATTGTGTTAAAGCTATGAATGAGGAAATGGAAGCTTTATATAGAAATCAAACTTGGATTATTTGTGATTTACTTTTTGATAGAAAACCAATTGGTTGCAAATGGGTTTATAAGATTAAATATAAATCAAATGGTGAGGTTGAAAGGTATAAATCTAGGTTGGTAGCTAAAGGCTATAATCAAAGAGAAGGTTTAGATTATGAGGAAACCTTCTCTCCTGTAGCTAAAATGGTTACTATTAGAACTGTTATTACTATTGTTGTCAATTCTGGGTGGAAATTGTTTCAACTTGATATTAATAATGCCTTTTTATATGGTGAATTAGATGAAGGTGTTTATATGTCTTTGGCTCCAGGATATCATGATAAAAATAATAATAAGGTCTGTAAGTTGTTAAAGTCTTTATATGGACTTAAGCAGGCTCATAGAAAATGGAATGAGAAACTATGTGGTGCTTAGTTTGAATTTGGTTTTATACAAAGTATAAATGATTTTTCTCTATTTGTGAAGTTTGATAATAATTGTTTTCTTGCACTTTTAGTTTATGTTGATGATATTATTCTTACAGGTAGTAGTGTTGATGAAATTAATAAAGTAAAGAATTTCTTAAAGTCTAAGTTCTTAATTAAAGATTTGGGAAAGTTAAAATATTTTTTGGGTATTGAGGTTGTTAATATTAATAATGGTATTTGTTTATGTAAAAGGAAACACTGTATTGAGCTAATTCATGAATTTGGGATGTTAGGTTGTAAACCTGTTAAAATTCATTCGGATAATAATGTTGTTGTTAAAGGCAATTGTTTAGATAAAAATGATAGCTTAATACCTAATATTGTTTTGTTTCAAAAATTGGTTGGAAAGCTTATTTACTTAACCATTACCAGGCCAGATATTTCTTATTCTGTGCAAGTTTTGAGTCAATTCATGCATAGTCCAAGAAAGTCTCATTTTAATGTTGCTATAAGACTTTTGAGGTATTTAAAGGGTAACCCTGGAAGAGGTTTTTCTATTGTGAAAACGGATTCTTTAAGTCTTAAAAGTTTTGTTGATGCAGACCGGGCAAAGTGTCTTGTTTCAAGGAAATCTGTAACAGGTTATGCAGTATTTTTTGGTAATAGTCTTATTTCATGGAAGAGTAAAAAACAGGAGACTATTTCTCGCTCATTGACTGAGTCTGAATATCGAGCCCTTAGTATTGTATCTTGTGAAATTATTTGGATTTTGAAAATTCTTTTTGATCTTGGTATTAAGAATAAAACTCCTGTTCCAATCTTTTGTGATAATGAATCAGCTATAAAGCTTGTTCTTAATCCAGTATTTCATGAGAAAACTAAGCACTTTGATGTTGATTTTCATTTAATTAGAGATCGTGTTTCAAAAGGAATCGTTGAGGTTTTTAAAATTAGTTCTAAAAATAATTTGGCTGATATTTTTACTAAGGGTTTAAGTGTTTCACGACACGAATGGATTTGTCAAAAGTTGGGTCTTGTTGATCCTTTCCAAGGAGTTTGTTAATGCTTTCTTTGAATTTTAAGTTTGAGGAGGGGTGTTGAGATAGTTGATGTCAATTCCTTCAAACTTATAATTCATTGATAATCTTCTGTATCCTTAAAATGTATTTATTATTTATTTAGGGTAGTTTATGTTAGTTTGTATTTCTCGTGTTGGTTAGATATTTGTAGGAAGGGTTATTTGTGCAAAGTGGATAAATCTTTTGGGCTGCGGAGTTCTAATTGAAGATTATCAAGGAGAATGAGGCACGAGTTTTATTTGATTCATACTCGGGTTGACCCGTTGTATAAATATGTGCCTTGACTGTGTTTTGGTTCAGATTGTATTCATTTTACGTTACAGTGGCTTCGTCCTTTCTCTCTAGATCTTCTGTATGTATTCGGTCTGTGTCTGTTCATACTGAAGTTAGGGTTATTTTTCCTTCTTGATTTGTTCTATGTTCAGTAGATAGATTAGTCCATAATCAGAGGGTTGAGAGTTATTGAAGTGAGTTTTCAATTGTAAGTAAATGAAAACCAATTGATTCTTACTTGAATAAGAATTGTTGATGTTGTGATATTTTGTGTCGTTTGATTTCTATCTACTTAAGACTTAACCCATTAAGCCATTACATGTTTAGTTGTTTAGATTGAGTGCTTTACCCATTCAACACATTTGGTAAAAAAGAAACAAACCCTAAGTAATGTTTTTTACTTTTAATTAAGAATTAATCCTTCAGCCTTGAATGTGAATGACTCCCATGGTAACCTTTAATGGGGCAAACTCCAAGTGGAATGCTTTTAAATAATATATCTTCTACTATTGCTTTACCCAATAAAGTGAGTGGAATGATTTTAAATCATATATCTTCTACTATTGCTTTACCCAATAAAGTGAAGTGGAATGCTTTTAAATCATATATCTTCTATTGCTTTACCCAATAAAGTGATGTGGGTATGCTAAGATAATAACTTATTTGGGAGGAAATTAAGAACTAGATGATCTAATGATGATAACTTTTGTGAGTTTGTCATAGTTACCTACCAATTTGGGCAATGCACTATATTTTTACCATAAGATTATTAGTAAAATATGCAAAGTACATTGCTATTGTGGGTAACGAATTACAAGTGGGTATAACTTAAATTTCATAAGAATATGTTCACTAAAATTATTGTTTAAACTAATGCAACAACGCACCGGCTTAAAACTCTCGTTTAAAACAGAAAGACAACCATAACTAATAAACAAACCACCAAGGAATTGAGACTAAAGTGACTCTTCAATATATTTCACAGCGTAGATTTTGGTTGAAAACAAAGAATTAATAAAAGGAAACTGGCACCAGAGATCATTGAGTGGTAATAAGAGCATCCACAGTGGTGAGTTCAATAAGAGGGTTGAATGAGGTGACAAGTCTAGTTGTCATTCATCGGATGAAACTCTACCATAGTGAGATGCCACCTTGACATTCAATGGATTTGGAGTTCAATGACTATTCAACTCTTTATTAGGAAAAAAAGAAAGTTTTTTAATCTTAAATATATATAATAAATTAGTTTTTGTAACTTTCTATTAAACTTTGTAGAGTTCAATGCATTGTAGGAAAAAATTGATTGAGTTGTATGGAATGTAGAAAAATGATGTGACAATCCATTCAACTCTATAGAGTTCAATGCATTGTGGATGCCCTAATGCAAAATAAAAAGTTGAGAGTGGTAATGAGGAACTGGTGACTAGGCAAGAGACATGTGGGAATGGGTTTACAAATGGCAGACAGGTCTCCATAAAATCTCGATAGAGGAGTTTGCATCATGTTGGATGGTAAATACCCTTCTTTCATAAACTTCCTCCGCATGCCAAAATTCTGATGAATCTGCTGTTTGCATTGGATCATCTTTAGGAACGAGTACAGCCCTAAACCGACACCCATATCCATACAAATACTCATTGCATAAGGAAAACAAAATGGTATTGTATGTCGAATCCAAGCATCCGGTGTGCCTCAATGAACTAAATGAAACATATCCTACACATGTCTCTCGAGAATGAGCATCAGGCCTTTCATTAGACTCCTTCGAAAGCTGAGATTGAAAATCTTCGTCTATGCCCTGCTTCATACTTATATTAATTTCCATATAGATGGCTTCAGATTTGACGAACATCAAAATCCCAGAAAAGTGATTGTACCAATCATGTGGAAGCAGCATATTATAAGTCTTCACCCAGTCGACCCAAACTACAGGTAACCCCATCCAAATGTCAATGTCTGAAATAGTGATATTGATAAAGTAGTGTTTGGCGTTTCCCTGCCACAGTACACATTTGTTTATGATTAATCTTATTCTTCTTATGTTAGGGTTTATATACATAGAGAATGAACCTCAAATTAAAAGACAAACCTCGAGCATGGAGTCTAGTAACATGTCACCAAAATGTGGACCAAGGTTGTTCTCCTCTGAAAGTGAGACTTTCCACAAGCATTTGCAGTTTGAAATGTCTCCAAGGGTTTGAAGTGACCTACAACCATCCGCTATAACAACAGCTATACTTGATGGAAGATCCGACAATTCTACAAGGTTATAGCATTGTGATATGTTGAGATATTGGAGCTGAGGAACTCGCAAGAGACTAAAATTCAAACGTACAAAACTATTTCCTATTAGATTGAGTTCTTGCAAGTTGGGTAACTCCCAAATAGCACCAGATCCGATGACTCCATCTGCCAATTTGAACCACCTGAGATCCAGCTTTCTTAAGCATTCACTAGAAAACCATAGCCCTATGTAGTTCATGTTTTGAGGTACAAACTTCTCCATATTTTGTTGGATCTTTGAAAGATTATTAACTGCACTGCATCCTGAGAGTACAAGAGCCTCCAGTTTCTTCATCCGGGTAATGGGAGGAAGCATCTGAAGATTGTCACAACTCCGTATCTCTACACAAACAAGGTTTTCCGACTGTCCAAATGATGGATGAATCTCTTCTAAAAGCGGAGAATCATAAACCATCAATCTTTCAAGGTTCGGAAGCCCATTAAAATCAGGTGTCTTGATTAGGTCCCGCAAGTGTTCAAGATTGATCATCCTCAAATTTGGTAGATACTGTGTACACAAGTGCACATAACTCAAAACTTTGCCAACGGTTCATGGAATATAGGTATATGTATATTTTCGGTTTCAGCTTTAATTAAACGAATATAAAAAAAAGTGAAATGAAAAAACATTAGAACAATAAAATCGAAAAATAAAATAATTTAAAAAGATTCGGTTTCAACTTTAATGTTTTAAAGTTTAAAAAACATGGGTCCGGTTGTCAACCGGAATGGACTAGATTATGAATCGATATTTGCAAAAATAAATACTGAAAACAAAACAAACTACCACCTTTAAATAAGTACATAAGCAAAATCAAGAACCAAAACCCAACCAAACATAGCTGCATATGCTTCCAGTTTAGTTTGTTAGGTCCTGGTTGTATTTTTTCAGTCTTGTTGATCCTGACCTAGTTTTGGACCTCAAAGGAGATATGAAATTATATGTTTATAGTTGAGAGCTTGCATTGTATATTTAATAAAGGTTTTATAAATGACTCGGTTGCATACTGTCCGACAAGTGTTGGATAATGCGATGTATAAGTAATCTTCCCAACTATCATATGTATATAACATTACCACCGACTTTCTAATAAAATTATTAATAGTCACTTCATAAAAATAAGCAAAAGCTAATAACATTTAATAAATCATATATTCGTCCTAATAAGAACTTATCATTTTATGATTACCGAGATACATTAAAATCAGCCATTTATAGACAGCATTTGCTTCTTAGACACACAGACACATTAGATAGATATTAAAATTTTAGTCATTCACTTTGCTTTCATCCATTAAATAATAAGAATTACCTTGTAACCCTCCCAAAGTTGTTTTGCATTGAGAAACCTCAGTGTTAGACAACAAAGCTCCCTTGGTGGAAAATTTTCTGGCATTATAATTAACAGTGGAGTCTCAAACAATGCTTCATAGTATTCCAAACTAATCGACCGAAGTTTCTTCATGTTTGCAACGACATGATAAACATGTGATTCGTCACTCCTTAAATACAAAAGATTTATAGCTTCGATCTTGTCAAGGTTCTGGGATAGATGAACAAAATGGTTTCAGGATCGAGTTCAAAGTGGTTAATTATACATATATATCATGAATAACTAGTTTAACGATTACCGTTGTTGCATCCATAGCACATATTTTTAGAACATCCTCCACCTTCCACACTCTACTATGTTTTTCAGGATTCTTCGGGTGTTTCCCTCGAACAATGTAGTGTCCCATTTCTTGCATCAGATCATGCATATCAAACCTTCCATCTGAAATTGTTATGAGGGCCTTTTGTATCAACACCTTTATGCCTATAACAGGGTGAAAGCCACAAGCATCAAGTTTCATCATTATACGTTCATCTTTATACACCCCTCTGAAGAAACATGCGATGTCTAAGAACAACTCTCTCTCCAGGTATGTAAGTCCATCAAAGCTGATTTTTAGCTTTTCCAAAATATCAGTCTCTGGGATTTCTTTCAATCTAGCCAAAGCACTCCTCCACTCATTTGTCTCTTTGTCACATAGAAAACGACCGAGAACTCTAAGTGCTAATGGGAGCCCACAAGCATATGAAACCACATCTTTTGAAAGCTGCTCATAATCTTTTATACGTCTATAACCCTGGGGTGCATGCTTACAAAAGAGCTTCATAGCCTCGTCATCGTTTAACAAGCTAATATTGTGTATCACATCTACTTTGTGTCCAGTTAATATATGTTCATCTCTAGTGGTGATTAATATCCGGCTTCCTTCACCGAACCAATCACGTGATCCAGCTAACTCTTCTAGCTGCTCAAGCTCGTTGACATCATCAAGGACAATCAACACCTTTTTATGTTGTAATCTATCCCTTATCATGCGTCTTCCTTCTTCAACTCTCCCTACCCCCACTTGATTTTGTTTCAAAATACCACAAAGAATTTTTTCTTGCAAGTTTTCCAAACCGTTCGTTTTACTGGATTCCTCCCGGACATTTTTTAGATAGCAAAAACCATCAAACTTTCTAGAGATATCATCATAAATAGAAGAGGCAAGAGTAGTCTTGCCACCACCCCCAACCCCCCATATTCCAATCATCCTCTTACCACCAAACCCAATCTGCAACTTTGACATCAAATCTTGCATGCGAACCTTCATTCCAATCAGGTTGTCATCCTCAACTAATGTTGGATGCAACTTTTGTGAAATTGTCTCAACAATTTCTTCAACAGCCTTCGACTGATCCCTGCACATTAGATATAGAAGGATAAGCAACACACGTTGACATGTAATAGACAGTATATATTTAAGATATTTAACAGTATTTTATTTATGTTATTCTAGATGGTACTAAAGTGTAATATCTAGTCTTATATATAGGACCTCTATTGTAATCTTAAAATCTTAAGAATAATACAAAATCATTCGGTGGCTTATTATGGTATCAGAGCCGCCACAACCTCTGTAACCCTAAATCCCCGATTTTTTATTTTTTTTCTTTTCTTTCTTTCAATCATTCTTCAATGGCGATGATCCAATCCTTTATCAATGTTGAGAAAACTACTCACAAATTCGCCTTTAAACTCTCACCCACCAACTACGGATTCTGGAAGCAAATGATTCAGCCCTTCTTGGTCACCAATCGTCTATTCGGTTATATAGATGGTACCATCCAATGTCCTCCATCGAAGACAGCTGCAACTATTGACACGGCCTCCACCGGTAACCTAGCTATCTTCATTGGATTACCAATGATGCACACGTGCGGATGCTTCTTTACTATTTCAGAAGCCTCCTATCAACATGTTCAAGGTACAACTTCCCGGGATCTATGGCTCTCCCTTGAAAGAGCCTATGCCCCCAACAACTCTTCTCGTGAATACACATTGAAGACTCAACTTTTGAAGATCGAGATGAAGGGTGATGAAACATCATCCGCGTATCACACCCGAGCACAGGAATATGCAACCGCTTTAGCCAATATTGGAGAACCCATAAAAGACAAAGACCTGACCATGTTAGCTATCTCCGGGCTACGTGATGAATATAATGGACTAAAGTCAAATCTGTTGGCTCGTTTCCCTCCAATAACCTTCCATGATTTGCATGGGTCATTAAGTGATCATGAGTTTATGATAAATCGATCACTTCCATTAGTCCCCCAGGCCTTCACGGCTGCTGTCCCACCTGTTTCACGCCTCCCAGCTTCCCTACCAACACAATTGACTACTTTACAGCTGGCAGCCCAACTTGGCTACCAAATCAGCCCTATTGTGGCTACAAATAATCAGCCCCAAGCCTTTTATACCAACCGATCTTCAAACAATTATCAGGGCAAGCGTCGTGGCAACTCCTGTGGCAACTACAACCGAAATCGTGATGATTCACGCGTTTCTGGTTCCGGTGGTAACACTCGTCAACCTCAGTTTTGCTTGGGCTTCAACTCAGAATATGGCCACTGTAACCGGTGTGGCATAGGTCATATTCCAGCCCAATGCCCAAATCAGCCCACTTCAGCTTCAGCTAATGAAACCCCATTAGCATAAGAAATTATATATAATGAATTTCGCAATCTTGCATCTTTCTTTACCTCTCTTGGTATAATCCATCGCCGCTCCTGCCCTCACACAAGTGCCCAAAATGGCCTTGTTGAGCGGCATCACCGACATGTGGTAGAAATGGGCCTTGCTCTCCTTGCTCACTCACATGCTCCTCCACGTTTTTGGGACTTCGCTTTCGAGACGGCGGTTTACTTAATCAATCGTTTGCCCTCTCGCAATTACTCCAACAAATCTCCTTTTGAGCATCTTTTCAATAAAACCCCAGATTAATCTTTCCTTAGAATCTTCGGGTGTCAATGATTCCCGTATCTTCGCCCATATAACCGACATAAAATGGACTTTAGATCCACCCCATATGTCTTTTTGAGATATAGCCCTCTTCATCATGGCTTCCAATGTTTGGATCCAACCACTGATCGCGTATACATTGCGTGACATGTTCGTTTCAATGAAGAAATTTTCCCTTTTACCCCTTCTCCTACACCTTTACCTACTGAAAAAGAACCTCCTTATTTCTCCTCCTTTCCACAACCTCAACCCATTCCTGACACTCAAAATGCAACCCCGGATCCACCTATTACTGTAGCTCCTTTTCAGCCCGCTGCTGCCTCTTTTCAGCCTTCTAACAGCCCACAAACTCAGCCTATACCTGCTGCCCCTACACCCAATTTTCAGCCTCAACCTTCACCATTACCCACACAGCCCCGTACCCGACCTCCCAACCTTCGCCAAAGCCCAAAAACCACCACCAGATATGACTCATCAGCCTATTTCTCTTCCATTGTCCTACTGATTCTATTGAACCATCCTCTTTTACCGTTGCTAACAAATCCCCAATATGGCGTCAAGCCATGACTGAAGAGTTTGATGCACTCGCTAAAAACGGAACTTGGTCTCTAGTTCCATTTGCTAAAAACACTAATGTCATTGATTCAAAGTGGGTTTACAGGATCAAAAAGGATGTGAATGGGAATGTTACTCGCTACAAAGCCCGCCTTGTGGCGAGAAAGGCTTCAACCAACAACCGGGTGTTGACTACCAAGAGACATTCAGTCCCGTTGTCAAAGTAGCAACAATCCGTGTTATTCTATCTCTTGCTGTGACAAATCAATGGTCTCTCAGACAACTTGATGTTAAAAACGTTTTTCTCCATGGTGATCTCAAGGAAACAGTTTATCTACGTCAACCACCGGACTTTGTTGATAAATCAAGACCTGATCATGTTTGTTTACTCCATAAATCCTTGTATGGATTGAAACATGCACCGATAGTGTGGTTTGAACGACTCTCTACAACCTTATAGTCTCTTGGTTTTGTTGGTTCTAAAACTGATCCCTCATTGTTCATCCTCAAGAATAGGGGTACCTTAGTCTATGTTCTTGTTTACATGGATGATATTATAGTTACCGAGATTGATCCTCAAGCAATCACAGGTGTTATCTCTAAATTAGGATCAACGTTTGTTGTCCAAGATCTAGGGAACTTACACTATTTCTTGGGCCTTGAGATTGTTTCTCATGGGGGGATTTGGCATCTACTTGGGTTCCAACTTAATATCGTGGAATGCTCGCAAACAACGTACAGTTTCTAAATCTGAGTATAAAGCACTTGCCGACACGGTTGTTGAGATAACATGGCTAGAAGCTCTCCTAAACGAGCTTGATATTACATCTAAAGTCTCTCTCACGCTTTGGTGTGATAACTTGGGGGCCACATATCTTTCCGCCAATCCTGTGTTTCATGCATGAACAAAACATGTAGAAGTGGACTACCATTTTGTACGAGAAAAGGTTGCTCAAAGAAAGTTGCTAGTTCAATTTATTTCCACACATGATCAAGTTGCCGATATGTTTACGAAACCACTTCCATCTCAAAGATTTCTAATGCTAAGGTCTAAGTTGCAGGTCGTTCCCCGCCCTCAACTTGCGGGGGGATAACAGACAGTATATATTTAAGATATTTAACAATATTTTATTAATGTTATTCTAGATGGTACTAAAGTATAATATCTAGTCTTATATATAGGACCTCTATTGTAATCTTCAAATCTTAAGAATAATACAAAATCATTCGGTGGCTTATTAACATGGACAAAAAGAGGTCTCGTCCAATCTTCCATGTTCCATGAAATAAGGGAAAGGAGTGCTAAATATCTCTTAATTACATTTCACATTCAAATAGAACTTGTAAAGTTAGTATCATAAGTAGTTCTAACAATTTTCATGAAAAAGACCAAATAGATCCATGCGCAGGAAAATGCAAAAGATAGTGGGCTTGTCGTTAGAATTGGCAGTGATGGTAAGTATGAACATAATATTACAATTGAGTGAAGTCCATCATAAAACTTAGTTTGAGCTTATATATAATCCTATGATTTCGGATATCTTTTAATTTGGAAAAGGAAAACGATCCACTAATTCTTATCTTTGACTTATAGAAAAGAATCTAAAATTCTTATGAGCTAATGAAACCCCATTAGCATAAGAAATTATATATAATAGACAATATATATTTAAGATATTTAACAGTATTTTATTTATCTTATTATAGATGGTACTAAAGTGTAATATCTAGTCTTATATATAGGACCTTTATTGTAATCTTCAAATCTCAAGATAATACAAAATCATTTGGTGGCTTATTATGGTATCAGAGCCGCCACAGCCTCTGTAACCCTAAATCTATGATTTTTTTCTTTTCTTTCTTCTTTCAATCAATTATTTCTCGTAGTCATTTACCTATTTCTTCACATGTAATTTCTTCTTTATGTTCTAGTTTTCAAATGGGGAAATCGTCAAAATTGTCGTTGCCACTTTCAAATTATTGTAGTAATCATGGTTTGGATTTAGTTTATTGTGATGTTTGGGGCCCCACCCCGTCTACTTCTTTCAATGGTCACCGATATTTTTTATTATGCGTTGATCATCATTCACGATACATGTGGTTTTACCCATTACCTCAAAAATCGGATGTTTATATCACTTTTAAAAACTTTGTTCTCATGGTTGAAAGACAATTTACAACAAAACTTAAACAGGTTCAAACCGATTGGGGGGAGGGGGGGGGGGGGGGTGAATTTCGCAATCTTGCATATTTCTTTACCTCTCTTGGTATAATCCATCGCCGCTCCTGCCCTCACACAAGTGCCCAAAATGGCCTTCGGTGGCTTATTAATATATAATGAAGCTGTGAAGACATCTCACAATCTTCTATATGTAGTACTTAATTATATCCCCTGTGCATGTGGGATATTATATTTATCCTGAAGATTTTTTTTTATCAAAATATATACATTTAACACAAAAGTGACAAGTCATATAAAATTGGGAAAATGACACTTTAGCCCTAAAATGTTTCGGAATTGGTCTATTCAATCCCTAAGCTTAGGGACTGATTGGTCTAACCTGAAACCTGAAATAAGTTTAGGGACTGATTAGACCAACTCCAAAAACATAGTAGGGCTAAAATGTCATTTCCCCTATTAAACTTTATGAATTGTATTGAAGGAAAGAATACAAGGAAAACTAGGAAAAAAAAAAGTGCAAAGTTTAATAAGTGAAGCAAATTCTAAGTTTATATATAAATAAAAAAATTTAAATAAAATCCAATAAATTATATAACTTGATTTATGGTGATGTTGTTACCGGCGCATGAATCGATGCTATTTTCACCAAATTTTAGTTAGAATAGCAGGCCGGGCCCTATGTGTGTCTATGGAAGACTTGTATAGCCTTAACGTGATAATAAAGGGCACTATTGTGCAAAAAATATATTTTTGCAACATAATTGTTACGAAAATAACTACAAATATATTATACATGTATGTAAATCATAATCATCCCAACTTTCATGATAAAGGAAATCCTCAGATAATCTTTAAAACGCTCAATCCAATACAAGTCTTCACCTACTAATTTCTTATTTCCAAACAACATAAAAAACTTTGAAAATACCAAAAAAATTATAATAGATAATATTCCTAAATCCTAAATGAGAATCATGAAATATATTCAATCAGTCAGTATATTCATAACTGATAAGCAGTGTATTCCACTGTCGTTTTACCATTTATAATGCAGCAAAAGTAAAATAAAAATGAAAATAGATTTGAAACCAAAATATGAAGTAGAACAAAACAAAAATGCAAAAAAGTTTAACACTTCCTTTTTGCATCTATATGCAGTTATTCTCTACAAACATGCATGCATTTAATCATAAATAATTGGCCTTATCATTTAAATGATTATACGGTTCAGAATAAATGTGTTGCAGCAGACACATATTTACAATCATAAAAGAGCAAAAACAAAGAAGATATTTACCTGTTGGCAATAAACCATCCAGATATGTTACTTGCATCCACAATTGCTTTTCTCCATGATTCAACCTGTGTCTTATTCTCCAAGTGCTGTTTGGTATATTCTTCATCGTATTCCCGTTTTCGTTCTAACGGTGCAAAGAACCATCCACAAGGGTCAATTATAAATGCCTGAACCAAAGATTTGATTTTGTCAGTGTTCTTGAGCTCGTGTTTGGCAAATGCTTCTCCATATTTTTCTTTTTGATTTCGCACATAAGACGGATCCACGTCATAAAATATAGGCATAACGATTTGGCCTCTCGTTTCCTTGCATTCCATAATATGTGAAAGTTCCTCTAAACACCACGATGAATCTGCATAATTTTTAGAGAATACGACGACAGCAAGTTGTGATCCTTCGATAGCCTTCATGAGGGCTGGACTGATTGATTCGCCGCGAGGAAGCGTTTCGTCATCCTTGTAAGTGTAGATCCCTTTTTCTACGAGAGCTTTGTAGAGATGACCCACAAGATTCTGACGAGTATCTTCTCCTCTAAAACTAAGGAAAACATGGTACTCCCATGGCTGAGATGATGATGATGAAGATGCCATTGATTTGTGGATATGTTGGGATAGAATGTGTGTGGTTTAAGCACCTCAATGAAATGAGCTTTATATAAAGAGAAGTGAGTTTCCAAGAAATTTCCAATGACGTCTATTAAAGAAAATACAGATGAAATTTCTGGATGGGACCATTTTCATTTGAAACAATGAAATGGAAATAAAGGAGGCTTTTTGTTAAACTTGGAATTTTTTATTGTGAAAATAGAATGGGACATTATTTTGTCACATAATAGAAATAAAACTAGTACAATTTTTTGTCCATACTCAGAGGGTTTTTTTTTGGTCTTGCTCAAAAAAAAAAAAAAAAAAAAAAAAAAAAAAAAAAAAAAAAAAAAAGACCTTTTGATCCCTATTTCACTATTTGGTCCCTGAATTTATCAGCTTGCAATTGTGGGCAGAAGAAGAAGAAAAAACACAATAGTATGATGTCAAGCATTATGCTTCACTAGTTTTAGCTGTTTTCCAAAACCCCTGAACAGATCAAATGCAAAGATTTAAGATTCTAATATCATAAAAGAAGACAACATTTAAGAAGTTCAACTCAGTCCCAAATGCCAATAAATAATAGGACTCAAGAGTAACGGGAGATGTTTTCCAGTTGATCGAAGAGTACCTCTCAAATTTAACGGGAGATGTTTTCCGTTTAGATTCAACCTCCACTTTCAGAATTGGATTAGAGAGAAAAAGATAGGGACAGATTTGAAAGAAGTGATAAATAATCAGAGCATAGAGATCCGGATTGGAAGCCCATAGAGTAATTGTAGAGTGGTGACTTCTCTGTATCTCAATTTAGGGTTTTCGTAGCTAAGTTTGTTTTCGAATCGATAACAGAAACAGAAATCGGGGATTTTAAGTAACTTGACCCACCAAGAACCACTGCTAGGGGGTGGGTGGGTGGTTGGAAGGGGGGGGGGGGGGGGCCATCGCCGGTGGGGACGTGGAAGAAAGGGAAAGGGAGAAGGGAAGGTGGTTGGTGAAGACGATGGTAAGAGTTCTACCGGCGTGTGAGGAAGACGGACAGGAGGGGAGGGTGCCACAGGGTGGCGGGTCCCAAAATCTATTATAAATGTAATTAATATATAATTTAAACAATAATACATGTTTATAGAAAAATTAAGTAAAAACTAATGTTATTATTTTATTTGAAATAAATAATACATCATTATCTATCTATATATATGTATCTATCTATCTATATCAATATATATCATACATCATACATATTTATAAAATTAGCATTTTTTTTTGAATCTCATGCATTTGAAACTCCATTTTTTAACTTTCTCAAACCACATTAATTTGAAACCCTATTTTTTAACTAATACAACTCAAAAGTTTTCTTAATTATGATTTAACACTCAAAAGTTTTATAACTTATATTATGTTTAATTAGCATTTAGTGAAAATTTACTATAAAAGGTCAATCTTTTGTGTCTTTTGTGTTATATAAATCTTACATGTAAGAAGGATTTGAAGATATTGTGATTCAAAAGTTTTCATATAGTTAAAGCATTCACGATCCAAATATGATGATTTGAAGAAATGAGTTATGTCGCATCGATGGTAATTGTAATATGATTTTCTCTTTCAACCAAAACAAATGAAGCTTTTCTATTCTTTCTTTATATTCAGTTTCTCATTCAATCTTTATATGTGATTTGTGTGTATTACTCAATCTTGAATGTGACTCTCCAAACATCAATGTTTTGCTTGGAATATCTTTCTGATTCTTCTTTTTCAAGAAAAATATTTTGATTGCAGGTTAGTGAAGAATTGTCATCAAGTTTCTATGGTTGAATGGTGTTAAATGAAGAAAGAAGATTCATAAAATGGATATAAGTTTTTTTGTTTGAGCAAAGTTGACAAATGTTAGTTTTTTCTTTTGATTTAAATGTATGTTTATGTAACATCTTTATTTATATATTCAACCACCCAATGTTCTTATTTATTTGATTGTAGTTTTTCTATTTTGATTATGTTTATTTTTGTATTATTTTTTTGTTGGGTTATCCTACACAACATATTTAAAAGACAATATTTAAAAGATAACATAATTTTGAACATTTGATATATAATTATGATAGACTTATCATGATATGTTCTTCATATGAAAGTAATTTATCCATTATTACAAACAAGAATTACATATGACATTTACGAAAATATATATATAATATGTGATTGTTTAACATGTATATGCACCTATGTATGTTATAAATTTATAATTAAATATATTTATGTTTAATAATTGAAGGGAATTAAAATGATGCATCAAAACCAATTATTTATACGAATATAATAATAATAATAATAATAATACTAATACTAATAAAAATAACTAAATATACATTTCCAAGTACCGTATTCATTTGAAACTCACACTACAACTCAAGAGGTTTCTAATTTATGTATATTTATTAGTTACAACTCAAGAGTTTTTAACTTATGATTATTAATTAGTAATCACTAATAACTTTTTATTTTCCTTTCTTTTATAAGGTTGTAAGTTTTGCTCATTAAAAACATTAATGTATGAAGAGATTTGTGATTTAAATATGAAGAGTTAATATAAAGGTTATAATAGAGTTTTTAGTTGTTTTATGTTATTAAAGTTATAGTGTTTATTTTTCATATTTTTTATTATTCGGTGTATATATATCTTTTTTAATACAAATGTTATAATAGATGTTTTTCTATTTTTATGTTACTAAAAGTTGTAGTTCATATTTTGGTTCATACGTTTTGTTACCCGTTATATTATCATTCATTTCATATATAATCTACACAATTTTAAACGGTTTATAAAATTATCAAATAATTGTATATATCATAATGACTTAAAAATTAAACTAAAATGTTAATAAAACTAATATGTTAACGATATGTTTGCTTTACTACTAACATTTTGTTTCAAACTAGAAATATTAAATAATAATTTGGTAAAAGTTATTATTTTAACTATATAATTCTATTTTCGAGCAATGCGCAAGGATTCGCCTAGTATTTTATAATAGAATCATTTTTTCTCAACCTACATTCATTTGAAACCCCATTTTTTAACTTCCTCAAACAACATTAATTTGAAACCCCCATTTTTTAACTAATGCAACTCAAAAGTTTTCTTAATTATGATTTAACACTCAAAAGTTTTATAACTTATATTATATTTAAATAAGCATTTATTGAAAAGTTTACTATAAAAAGGCTAATCTTTTGGAAGACATGCATACAAATCATGTACAAATTTCAAAAACGAAACAAACTTAAAGGTTTTTGTGGTGGGTTGAGGTCTTATGACCATTTTTGGAGATATGTTATTATATTAGAGCTTTTAATTTGTAAGTTTATTATACTAATTCGTTTTTATATTTTCTTCGTTTTTGGATTATTGTAATACAGTCGTTGTATATTGTGGTTTAATCGTTAATATATTGATCATATGTTATATATGGTGATGTGGAAAATATATAATTAAATATTTTAAAAATGTTTTTTTTGTTTTGTAATTGTACCGTTTCAAAAAGATAATTAATTAAAACTCATACATATGTTATACTTTCCATCTCTCTCTCTCTTTCTCTCTCTCTCTCTCTCTATATATATATATATATATATATCATCTATATATATATATATATATATTATATATATTATAATAGAGGTCAAAACACTTCAACCAAAATTCAATTAAAATCTAATATTTCAAATGCTTTTTAATAATGATTGTAATAATTTCAAAATATGTTACTTAATTCATTGATTAATAAGAATATTAATGTTTTGAAACTCCTAACTCTTAAACTTATATTATTTAATTTGTTAGTTAACTAATATATTTTTCCAGCATAAAGATAACATTTTTATGTTTGGTTACTCATATTTGTTTATGTAATTAGAAAAAAAGGTATACATAGAATGACTACTTCAATTTTACATAGGAATCGATACCACCAGAGAGGTATGTTGTCTTTAACTGGTGGTAGGAGATCCACAAACCCTTTTTAGTTATTTATATTAATGTTTAGTAATATCTATTTTATATTCCTATTCACCTTAATTTTTTAGGTACAAATTAAGGAAGAGGATTCTCGGCGCACCAACATAAAGTCATCCGTACGCCTTGCAAAATATGTAATTAAAATTAAATATCATATTTACTAATCAACTTATTTTAAAACTATTGATGACATTTATGTATAATGATATATTTTGTATGACTTTATTCTTAATTTTAATGTTTAATATTTGAAAGTTCATATATGAAACCTTGGATGTTTTGGTGTAATATAAATAGTGTAATACAAAGTTTATTAGTTCAATATTGTTTATTAATAGCTCATTCAAAACAACTTATTTCTTATTTTATCCAAAAAATATTATCGGATATAAGAAAAGTAGATTATATTAATGTTATACAAAAACTTATAATATATATTGGATAGTATAAAAGTAAAAGCAAAGTTTATAAGGTATGCACTATATTAGATAGTATCAAAATATAAGTTGATGGATTTTTATATTATTTGATAATTGGGTTAATGCTGAAAACATGACCAAAAACATACATTTCAACATATTTCTATTTTTTCCCATAATTATTTTAACCACTTAAATGCATTCTTGCGCAACGCGCAAGGTTACGCCTAGTTAGAGATGGAGAGGGCGGAGAACATACGGAATTACGAACGCCATCCACATCTGTGAATCCTTATTCCATATTCTCATCCCAATTACTGAATATAAATGAATCTTCATTACCACCGCCAACAGGGATTAGGGATCCCAACTGGAAATCGATAATTTTTTTCTCTTTTAATATGAAAACTTTTACGCAAAAAAAAAACTTTAAATTTCAATTTAACTAACATAAGTTTAAAGATTTTAAAAAACATAAAAATATTCAAAATTTTCATAAAAACTATAAACAATTTTTCTACCAAATTTAAATACATACATGAAAATCAAATATAAAAAAATATATATTAGATTGATATTTAGTGAATAGATAAACCAAGGAGGAAAAGAATGTATACACGAGGTTAAATTAGATAAAAGAAAAAGGAAAAATAAAATTTCAACCAAGTAATTACTATTAAGTTGAGTTACTTTGATCAAGTTTTAAGTATTATAAAATATACTATAAATATATATTTTATATTATTTTTATATATTAATATATACAAGGGTCAGAGACTATGGGTATCTCATCACCATCCTTACTTTTTCATTCGAGGATTCCCTATCCGCGATCAACTTGGAGATTCTTTAGTCAAAATGGGTGTGAGTTTTAAGTTCTCCATTGAGTATGAGTTTTTTTTTCATCCCTAATTGTAACGTCCCAATTTCACAACGAAAAATTTTCATTTTTATCAGTGTTGCAAATATCGGCCTAGGCGGCCGATTAATCGGCGCCTAGGCGCTTGGCGGTCCTCCACCGTCGACGTTTATAACTAATCGGACCCCATTATCGGACGCAGTCAAAATCGGTCAAAGACGGAGATTATCGGGTCTAGGCGGGTCTAAGCGGGCCTAGGCGTCCTAATCGGTAAAAAAAAAAAAAAAAAAAAACTTTAAAGGCAAAAGTTTCAAATTGTTAGAATTAATGCTAGGGTTCTTCTCACTCCATCGCTTTCATTTCTTTTCTTTTTTGAAATTCTCTTTGTAGTCTGAAGGAACGAAAGAAAGCATGAACTGAAGCTTCTAAAACGATGCCATCTTCTTCTTCTATGCCATCTGTCCCTCCTCCGACACCGTCTTTTTCTTCCATTCACGTCATCGTAGTCCGTCAGTCGTCATCCTCAAAGCTAAACTAGTCTTCGCCTTCTTAAGCTTCTACAACAGTCGCCGCATCTTGTGTGTTATATAGCAATAATCAGGATGGAATCATCGATCATGGAATTCCCACATATCCACAGCCTCCTGCTATTGAATTCCCTCAACATTCACAAAGTTCCAAATGCAGTAGACAACAGGTTGCAGGTCCACATCTCTTCCCGGTGCTATTGGAACCCATTGTTCATAACACTTTTTTTCTCCCCATTTTATGCAGACTTCGATCCAAATGCAATTGTTGGTTATTTAGATCTGATGTATTAGGGATCAAAAGGGTTTTTGTAATAATAGTATCATGTTATAATGTTATATTTATTAATTTTTAGTAACTTTTTAATAGATATAATGTTATATTCTTAGGATTAATGTTTTATTTATTAATTTTTTAATAATTAATGGTCCCCGATTAATCTCCGCCTAGCCGATTAATCTTTTGACCCCAGTCCACCGCCGAGCTAACGTCGAGCGATTTCTGCAACCTTGATTTTTATTTAAGTAAAGCTTCCTAATTATAAATCTGTTATGAAGAGAACTGCTTATTTTAAATACATTTATTAGAGAAAATCAGAGTAATATTAAGGTGCAGAATCTTCATTGTTGTTGGTGAATGTGTACAGTCACTCATTCGCCTTCTCATGATGACCGATGATACATGAAACAATAAACAACTGGTTAAGCATAAAGCTTAGTGATTTTCCTCTAGATACCTCATATAGTAAACATACAACCATGCATAACGGCCCACAACCTCCCGGTTGGAATGCCCAGGCCTAATCAGTCCTTAGATTAGAATGCCCACATGCAACGGGTCCAATCTGCCATCGGGCAAAAATAACCAAGGTTTGTTGGCCTATCGCCTCAACCCAACCGCTCTTCCGGAAGCTCCGTGCCTACGGCTTACAACAGGCCCGCACCGGGTGTCTTGGACTACAACACAAAGCAGGACCACCCTCTACCCACTACTACCATATGTCGATATATATATATATATATATATAAACAAAAGTAGGCACATAATACATGCAAACAACAATCATACAACTCAGTACCGCTTACTAGTCCTCTCATAGCACACATTCCCGCTACTAGTTAACCTCCATGAAATGTGTAACAATAAGTACCTAGAGGTGAGATAGTCACCCGAATAGATGATCCTACTCTAAAGCCACAACCAAACCAGGAAAAGGCAAGAGAGCCTAGATCAAGAGTTCTCAGGCTACCCTACATGACTACATACAGTCCCTAAGGCACTTCACTAAATGATAACCAGCAAGTATAGATAAACCTACAGTTCTACAGATCACTACTACATAACAACATCCTATATACCAGGCTACAGATGTTGGATTGGGTGTCTAAGCCCATAACTATAATTGGTATGTACTAGACCTGGTAGTAGCATGCTCCTTTTGGTTTGCCTTCACCAAAGCAACTTGACTGAATGAATAATGGAGAAAGAGGTTAATTGTGATTTATTAATATATTATAATAATAATATATTAAAAGAGAAATCATATTATTTAATTAATGTTGGTCAAGAATTAATTTAGAATTGATTTTGTGGTCAAAAGATATTAATTAAATTAAGGGGACTGATATTGTCATTATAAGATAATTGCAAAATGGGCTAAGGATCCCTAAGTTAAGGGATGGACGAAATCTTATGTATAGCCCATAAGGAATTCGTCCAAGGTAAGGGTTCTGGAAGGATCTTATGGGTTGCTTAGGGCTTAAGCAACCAGATTAGGTATTTGACTGAAACCATAATACCTCAGCTATATAAGGAACCATTTGGCATCATATTTTCGGCCACTTGATCCCTAGAAGGATCTTAGAGCCGAAAATTAGTATCCTTAGCCTCTCTCTAACATTCCTCCATTGTTATTGGTGTTTGTGATCGATTAGAGGTATTACACTTGTGATACTAAGCTCTCAAAGGTTGGAGATCTTCAAACTACAATCAAAGGTATTATTCTAACTTGTTTATTACGTCAATTTCGAAAATAGCATGTTAGATTAGGGTTTATAAGCTTTGGATGATTATTGCATGTACAATTAGAAAAACTAGATCCAAAGCTTTAGGGTTTGCATGTGCACCATATGATTGTTGTTATGTTCAAAACTCATCAGTGGTATCAGAGCCTAGGTCGTTTTCTATTGTATTTGATGCTATGCTTAATTGTTCAAAGCTGGAAAAGTCGAAATTCTGAATCTACAGGAAGAACTCGACGAGTTCACTGGGCAGTGAACTCGACGAGTCCAAGCCTGACTCGACGAGTTTTCGGGTCTGTTGGCAGATTTTTCGGGATTTTGACTAAAATTGGGTTAGGATAATTACCATAAACTATTTTACTGATAAAAATTCAATTTTTACAATATGGTAATGATTATCCTCATTCAATTAGAAGATAATTGTCAAATAATAAGATAATTATTGGTTATATGATAAAGATTAATTATTTTTATTTTTTATTTGAATTATCTTGTCTTGAAAGTAGATTAGTTGAAATTATGTGATAAATATTAATTATATGATATTTAATTTATTTTCAAATTTGATCTAAAAGATATTTTGAAAAGTTTCAAAAGTTTGCCCTCGAGTTTTGGAATTTAAATTTTAATTAAAAAGTTTAATTTTGAAATATTTAAATTCTAAACCCCTAGAGTTTTAAAAGTTTAAAATTCAACCCTTATACTATTATAATATTAAAAGATTAATAATTATATATATGTATAAGACGAGTCAGTCTTACCGTTAGTAGGTCTCATTCACGAAGCCGATCTATAAGGGGGGGGGGTATAAGGAATCTGCCTATAAAATGGTGGTTGAATGGGTGTCCACTCTCACCCACCGCTTCCTTGATTGGTGGAGTGTCGTTAGCTGAATGGGTAGGATATGACAACTAATTCCTCATTAATAAGTATAATGATTATATAAAGTAACTAAATATTTTTATAAATTCCCAATCTTAGTTACTTTATGAAAAATGTGAAAATGTATGCTATTCCATGAAATTGCACTTTGCACCTTGCCAAGTCGTTAGTGGAGCGTGTGTGGCTAACCGGCACACTAATTTGGGACTAGAAAGGGTGGCAAAGGGTAGCTCGATGTTTATCATAGATTAATGGAGTGTGTGTGGTTAACCAGCACATTGATTAGGTGATAAATGACATCGAGAGTACCAAACATATTTGCATGGTTATTCACACCTTGTTTCTGATCCTCGGCATCCCAGTCACAAACTTGAAGGGCATAATCGAGATTTAAACATGTCATTGAAAAGTTCAATGAATCTCAAAAGAATCTAGGAATTTCAAATCATTTAAAACTTAAAATTCTTTTTTCGTTTTTCATGGTGGAAATTGGTAAATAGTCATTTACCTACCTTCAAATTATTTGCAATTAGATTACGGCATCCCTTTTCTGAATTGTAAATAATTGTGTTGGGTCCTAGCCCTAATTTCTCATTTGGGTGTTTAATTAGGGATTCTTATCTAATCTAAACTTTGTTCTTTTTCTTTTCACATGTCTACTCCAAACAACAACGCTTTTGGCTCAAACCCTTTTGGCTCATTCTCACTCATGAACTTGTGTGGGAAAGTGATATTTGATGGATCCAATTTTAACGATTGGATTCGCAACATTCGCATGGTCACTCGCTACGAGGACAAAGAGTATGTTCTCAATAAGGAGCTGAAGGAGATTGACCACAATACTGCTACTCCTACGCAAATTGCTGGCTACAAGGCTCATGAAAGGGACGCGACTAAGGTACATTGTATCATGCTCACGACAATGACCGCTGAATTCCAAAAGTCCTACAAGGACTAGTATCCATACGAGATGCACCAAGATTTGATGGAAAGGTACCATCAAAGTGCTAGGCAGGAGAGGTACGAGATCATCGCCTCAATGATCACTACCAAAATGAAGGATGGAGAGTCCATCACGGCCCACTTGCAGAAAATGCAAAGGTTTGTGGACCGCTTGATGAAGTTGAATGTCAACTTCGACGAGGAGCTGGCCATAGATATTATTCTACACTCTTTGCCTCCTTGTTATGATCAGTTTCGTATGACCTATCATATGAACAAGGAGGAGGTCACTCTGAGCAAGCTTCAAGGCCTTCTGCGAACTGCCAAGAGTAGTTTGAAAGGCAAATCTGTTGCATCTACTCCTACTGTTGTTGCCCCAGTCTTGGCAATTGGACAAGGGAAAGGGAAGAAGAGGAAGGCTCCTTCTAAGAGCCACAAGGAAAAGTCCCATGATGGATCCGCTTCTATTGGAACCAAAGGTGGTTCTGCTGCTTCCTCTACCAACCCAAAGGAAGCAGAGTGCTTCTCCTGCCATGAAAAAGGGCATTGGAAACGAAGCTGCCCGAAGTATTTGCAGGAAATCAAGGATGGGAAGATAAAGCCCACCTTCGCAGGTATTTACACTATTCAATCTAATAACTCATCACATGCTAGCTCTTAGGTCCTTGATAGAGGATGTGGCTTTCACATTTTTTCTGATTTGCAGGGTCTAAAAAGAAGTAAGGATGTGGAGCATGGGAAGATGAACCTGATCATGGGGAATAGGAAAGTGTCGCCTGTCACCAAGATTGGAGTTTATTCTTTAGTGCTTAGTAGTGGGTTAGGGTTGAATTTGAATAATTGTTCCTACTCGTCTGATATGGCGAGAAACATTATTTCTTTTCATGGTTTGTATAAACAAGGTTTTAGATTTTCATTTAATAATGAAATTGGTTCTATTAATTTTTCTTGAATGGTACTTTCTATTTTGAAGCATTGCCTTGTAATGATATATATGAAACTGTGATGGTTGTAGACAACTTAGGAAATAATGTGTTGCACATCGATTCGTCCAATGGTTTGGACAAAGCATGGTTGTGGCATTGTCATCTTGGACATGTCAACAAGAAGCGCATAGAC